TGGTTGTTTCCTCCACACACACACACACACACACACACACACACACACACACACACACACACACACACACACACACACACACACACAAAAAAAAACCAACCGCAAACCCTCTTTGATTGGCTCCTCCCTCTTGCTCCATCGCTTTAAGACTCTTTGAAACACTTTTAGCCCGTCAGCACTGACAGTTACCCAAGCAGGGCAGCTTGTCTCCGTGACTATTTCGGTGCGCAGACCCAGCAAGTCAACCTCCATAAACCTCCAAATTCAGTAATAGTTTCCTGTGTATAACTGCGGACAACCCCCCCCCCCACAAAAAAATTGATTAAAAACTGATGAGTTTGCGTAACTGTGTCCAGCATGAGATAAGTCAAGTCTTGACCAAATAAAAGGACACCTCCACTGTTACGATGTCAGTCATGTTTGTGATTGTTAGCTCATGTATGAAATCTTGTGACGTGAATTAAAAAAAAAAAAAAAAAAAAAAAAAAGGGAGAAATGCAAAGACGCAGAGTTTTCATCTGCGGAGGAAGCACTGGGAGTCGAACCGATAGTTCCGATGATATGGTGAGTCAGTGCGGCGAGGTGGTGGGGCCTTGCTTTATGCCGCCATGAGATACTGATGGTAGAAGAGGCCAAAGAGGGAGGTGGAGAAGAGGCAGGCGGCGATCCACCACGCGAAGAAAGAGAAGAGCCCCCGGAAAAGTAGAGGACTGAAGACGGTCTTCAGGCCCCCCAGGGCGACGGAGAGTTGGGCGGCGGAAGCCCGCGCTCCCGCCTCCACCACCGGGGGCGCTATTGGCGCTACCCCCGGCACAGAGTCCATCTGATGCGTGCAAGGCAGCTCTTCTTCAACACGGAAACCCCACGAGTGGCCACCTGGCATCAAGAAGACTCGCGTTACATCAATGGGGGCTCGCCCGGAACAGATTAGGGCATTTACATGTCTTTCAATGCGGAATATTGTTTTGATGTGAAGGTAAATTGAGGATGCTTTCTACTTGTGTGCATGACAATATAAATTTCACACGAACGTGGTTATAAGGGAATTGTTTTTCTTCCTGTGCTTGTTCTATCATGTTAAGCAGCGGCACATTTTGGATATTCCACACTTGTTTGCCATTTCAACTCAGCTGTGGCACCTGTCAGCGTTTCCACGGAATGTATTCTTACGTTTTCTTTTATCACGCCATCAAATAATCTCAAAAAGAACAAACAGGCGTGTCTGTTTTCGGGATGAGTTGGAAATTGCTTTTCTGTTCTAAGCACCAACACTTTGGATGTTTTTCCGTGGAGTTGGCTGGATTCAAATGCGCAGATGTCTGCCGAGTGATCAGGACAGTCATCGCGAAGACTCACCCAAGGTTTTTAGCAGCAAAGTCGTATGCAGCAGCATCACCAGCGGTGCCACATACTGTAGTGCGATTACACACAAGTAGTAAAAAACACGTGCAACCTGGAAGACAAAAGGTGGGTGGGGCGGAGAGTGCAGTCAGCAATCAGCCATTTTTAAAATGAGAACGTAGATCAGGTTAAGAAAGCCCATTGCCACCAGTTAAAAAAAAACAAAACATTTTTTTACTTTTTTCCCTGGTATATTTAAATGTGTTTTCCCCCTGTGGAAAAAAAATAGCAAAAGTAAAAAAAAAAAAAAAAAAAATACAAACAAAAAAACAGGAAAAGTATTTTAAAAAAATAGTAAAAAAAAAAAAGTTTTCGGGTTTGCCCCCCCTTTGAGTTTTTTTCCTCAATGGTGTAAAAAAAAATAATACATAAACCGCAACAGTAAAGCCACTTTTATTTCTTTAACTGGCAGAAACAGGCGTCTGTAAAAAAATAAATAAATACATACATTTCCATATATTGAAGTAAATCACATAATTTAGCAGACAATTCTGTCTAACTCAAAATGTTTTCTGGGCACACACTAGAAAAGACCAGAACAGTAGCTCGTGTTAGAAAGTACAGATAAGATACGAATGAAGTCACTTTGACCTATCATTTATCATAGATAATTGCTTATTATTTGGTTTCATTTTGATTGATCCTTTTCTCCTGACAGCAATAATTGTGGCTTCAAAGTATCGGATATTTGCTTTTTATCTGGCACTGTCGTCACAATGCCTCATTTGCACCGCTGCACAGCCAATGGGATGCCACTGGGACTAGGCACGTGCCTGTTCCCGTTTCAAGAAGACCACCGTTTTAAAAAGATCTAAAGCTTTCCATCATTGGTAAGCGCTGTTTTTTTTTTTGTTTGTTTGTTTTTTGGGTTGTTTTTTTTTGAGTCATCAGAGCAGGCAAAGTAACCCGAGGCTTTTGAGAATAAATAAGAAGCATGATGACGCAAAGGATGTCAATCACCATCTTCTGCAGGTCGACGGTACTTATTCGCCCCGCCTCCTTCTTCATCTGCTCCACCGCCTTCTGCGCCAGGTTGAGGTAGGCCTGCAAATGATGCCTCATCATCGCCAGCCGCAGCGCACACATCAGTATGATGGTCCATAACCGCAGGGTGTCGTACGTCTGCTCAGCCATCCTGACACGGAGACACGGAGACGTGGAGACGGTGCGCTGAGTCACATCAGGACGAGACGGATGGCAGCTTTTTTTTGTTACCGCTACATCACTCCATCATTTGGACTGCGTGCCGCAGGGGAAATAAAGTTGCAGCAACGGGGAGAAAAGAGCATTTTGCGCCCCGGGAGGAACTGTTGAGTCATCCAAACTACATGGACAGAAGTCTTGAGACAACTGTCGTTCAATGACAGAATTTCTGCTCATATGAGTTATTCATGAAAATAATGTGGACAATTCTGTGCCCCTTGTTATTTTTCAGCATGAACTCAATGGCCCTAAAGACGTGGTTGGGTGAGTTTTGTGTGGAATAATGTTCTTCTGGATAAATGGACAAACATTCGTACAGACATTTCAAAATCTAGTCGAATATCTTTCCAGGTGAGCGGAAGAGGTTATAGCAGCAAAAGGTGCCCGACTACCTGCAAGGGGCATGCAGGATTTCATGTATGGGGGATATGTTTACTAGCCTAAAATATGGTCAACAAAAATCGGTTCATGAAAGGGCGACAAGGAAACTCACTGTCACATTTGAGAGATATGTTGACGGATAAACTCACAAAGGCAAGCTGTCCTTTCCCAGGGTGGGGTTCATTATGTAGTCCTTGGTAATGGGCTTCACCCACAGCAGGACCATGATGAGCGGGGACAGGAAATTGATATGAAGCAAAGTTCTTCAGAGAACGGCGGAGACATGAGATTGCCAGTTAATATGTGCACGGAATATACATTAAAAAGAGGAAAAATGGACATTTATAGAATAAGCGTGAGGTCATTTGTCAGAAAAAAAGATGATTTACTGTATATGGAGGATTTTTTTTTTTGGTGCATCAAATTCCAATAAGCCATACAAAAATCGAACAAAGTAAAACGTAAACAAAGAAATATTGTGCCTCACTGTGTAAATTTGGCTGTGGTCACATTGAGGGCGTCGAGATGCATCTGGGCCAATCGCAGACCCGGGAAGGTTAAAAAGGCTCCAATCAGGGCGCAGAGGAAGGCGAGGATTAACTTGAAGGTAAGTTTTGAAATGGGACCCCTGTCAAGGAGAGAAAAACAGATACTGGTGAGTCGAGACGACTTTCCAAAGGGAACAAACTTGACCGAAACGAAACTTACTGCGACTCCAAGCCCTGGTGTTCCAGGAACTGCAGCGCGCTATCAGAGAAGTTGGCAAAACCTTTCAACGCAGACAACAAAAAAAAAAAAAAAAAAAAAAAAAAACAGTTCAGATAAACCAAGTGAGGATTGAGGACTGCAACGAGCGGAGCAACATTCACCAGTTTCCAGCCCGAATTCCAGGTAGTTCTCAGTTACGATGAGAATGGCCATGGCTTTGACAAAGAAGAAGAAGCCGAACGTTATGCAGAGGGAGCGCTCGCCTCCTTCCTCCAGCTTAAAATAGTGAGTCGTCAGAGAGAAGAGAATCTTACTGAAGGGGGGGGGGGGGCGCACAGTCAAGGAAAAGGGTCTCCAATGGAACATTTTGAAGTATTTTCCACATTTTCTTCCGGTCTTATTTTCCTCTTCTGACCACATAGAGTCACGGCATGATACATGTGATTGAGGGGTGGTTGTAAGCGCGCATGCGTGTACATTCGCACGCTCGCAACCCCCCTCCGTAAGTGAGAAGTCGTTTTGAGTGCTTGCTCAGGCGTTGCAGGCAATGTTTTGCTGAGCTTAATTTATAATTTACGAGACAACGCCACTTTATTTACCCTTGTCGCTCTCATGCACTGATTGGCTAGCTAACGATCAATCAGAGTGTTCAATTGTCGCCGACGGCTGATACCATTTTGCAACACGTGATTGATGGCTCACTCATTCAAATCATATCTGAAAACCGCAATGACACAAAAATCTCTTCATTCTCCTCAATACTAAATGTTGCTTTTTACTTTGGTTTGTCATTGCTTTGATTATGAATGTATTGAGCACATCTGCTATGGGGGTAGATTTTATTTCATGAAACCATGACTGTGGATGGTATGATAAACCATGACTTCTCAGCCATGATGCTTGCTTAACTGATTTTGCCTGTAAGACTCATTAATTTTTCCTCAATTGATTTGTACAGTCTAGTGGTCTCTGTAATGATGTAAAACGTTCCAAATTTATTATTTTTTTTTTTTCTTCCTCAATTGATTTGTACAGTCTAATGGTCTCGGTAATGATGTAAAAAGTTCCTTTTTTTTTTTTTTTTTACCTTGGTTGCATTTTTTTTTTTAACATGACAAAAACCTCGCATTGGAACAAGTGCGTGTGGACCTTTATTTGAAGCTCCTGCAACGTCATCAAAACACAACATTCTAATCGGTGCAAAGCAACATTTTTGACAAAGCTCCAATGATTCTTTTTGCAGGGGCAATCCGACGGTGAGCGCATCGACAGAGTTCAGAGACCAAAGTGATCTTGCAAAACTCTCAGCAGTTACGTGGAGACTAACAAAGAATTGCTGGCTACTGCTCCAGATAGTCTTAAACATTGTCATCGCAAATGAAATGGGAAAACTGAAAATCAAGTGCTCCATTAGCACATATATTGAAGAAACACGCTTCCTCGTATTCATAGTCCCATGTCATTCGCTCCTTGGTCTATTCCCTGTCAGGGGCTGCGCTGGGAAATTTAGGTCTCCAATCTTTGACGTAGCCGGGGAAATGACACACCATCTGACCGCGGCGAGCCGAGGTTGACCAGGAGCACTGGAAAAGATTGATTCCTGTGGTTGGTGGCACGGATAATGCATATTATTAGGCCATCATTTAGCGTAGCAAAATAGCAGGGAGCCTTGGACCATAAAGGTGCCGGCAGTCAAGCCTGGTAGGAGATCGCCGCGTCATTTTAGAGCTTCGGCAGCTGCTGCTGCTGCCGCCGCTGCTTGGATCTACACAATCTAGCTGAAATGATTTGGTCTACCTTACGGACAAAGAAACCACTAAACTGTGGGAACTTAACATAGGAGAGTTTTAAGTTTCAAATGATTAAATAAGGAAGTACACATTGTGTCCGTTTGCTGAAGCGGTTCCGTTCTTCTAAAGCACAACATCTTTAAGCTGTCATCGCAGTAATGACAGATCTGCCTTTGCTGCGGGTTATGAAGGAGAGAGGAGCCGAAGCCGTTTGAGTTTTCTTGTTTAGAAATCTGCGCTTGTCTTTGTTGCCGCATTTCATGCCTTCGCATTGCTGTCGACATCACACTATTTATGCAGTCAACACAAAACCGACGCCCGCATTTGGTCAGCGTAGCCAGCCTGGCTGTCGAAGGTTAAGCCTTTTGGTAATATTTGTTTTTAGATACTAAGCAAGTGTTTCCCGACCTTTACTGAGCCAAGCACCTGAATTTACATGAGAAAAATAAATAGCTTTTTAATTGAAATGCAAGGCATTTATTTTCGGAGAGGTGTGTTACTTCAAGTGGATGACACCCGATGACTAATTGAGTTGAGACTGTCTGTTCGTCAAAGGGCCACCATTTGAGGAAAGAAAATATTTTTCTTGTCGCTCTGGCAGGGACAACTTACATCTGATATGAAAGGTTATTGTTCAGTGCTGTCATAGGACCGTCATGACAGTCTTCTCTTTTTATAGCTGCTCATAGTCTGTGAGGCAACGAGAGGGTTTTGTCGAAGCTGCTTTTAAAAACGACCTTCTGGTGTCATTTGGAAAGCCAGGGGCGGACACAAAAGCAGATCTTTTCAAATGGTCTCTGGTTTCCATATGACTCACAGCGCAGCATTTGTGTGATTCTAACACAGCATGCGGCGTTGTCGGTCGAGAGAACGGTTGGCGTGACATCATGCGAGGACCGATTGAAGGATACACGACAAAGGCGAGCACGAGCATGGACCAGACCACACTGATGTTCATCTCTCCTGAGGGTTGAGCAACACTGTAGTAGAGCTCCGTTATTAGATAGACCACAGTCGCCGCTACCGTGAAATCAACCAGCCACTGGAACTCTGGGAAGTAGTGCAATGCTAAGGGCACAGAAAAAAGGGAATGGGTTTTGTTTCCAAATTAAATCTATATTTAGAAGGCACAACCAACATTGGATTGAGAATGTTGGCACAACCCCGCTCCCCCAAACAAAGCTGTAGAAAATATGTTTGTACCTAATGTGTCGACTTCAGTGATGTATTTTGTTTCGAGTTGAAGATCGATGTCCTTGGGTACCGTTAGCGGCTTGTTTTCGATGTGACCGTTGTACTTCCTGGTGTAAAGAGCAACATAAAAAGGAGTCAAAGAGAATTCTACATTCAACTGAATTTTTTTCATTGGTCAGCCATGAAAAACCGCGAGCATGGAAAGAGAGTACTTATTCTGTCTGTTCAATGGCGGTCTTTAGGCAGAACTAAGTCACTCACAGCAGGTAAAAGAGAACGACTCTTTGAGCATGAGGAACTATCTGATGGGCCTCCTCGGCTCTGGCCTGTGTTTGTTCAGCTCAGTGTGTGCGCAACATTCACAGGACAATGTCACTGTAAGAGTCCCGAGCCAAAACATGCCCGAGACACATTTGTGTCTCCGAGGCACCTGACAGGAAAAAAAAAAAAAGGAGGGGGGCGGGGGGCTCAGCTTCATCCCACTGCAGGAGTCAGTGATCCAACAATGGAAACTGAGTTGCATGGCATGAGCTGGTAAGAAGACAGTGGTCCATCTTTTTCTTTTGGGGGATTATTGAACATGTGGAGCCGCAGAACACCAACCTGCCTCATACCGGGTCAGAGAAAAGGACTTACTCTAAAACCAAGCCCCCCTCCGCCCTTTGAGGATTAACTTCCACTACTGACTGCAATTTAAATTCCTATGAAGAGAAATAAAGCATGCAGGAAAATGCACTAAATTCATATGTTCAACGTATGCTTCAACACTCACCCACCGAAGACAAAGTTGTCTTTGGCGAATGTTTTTGAATTCGGGGTTGTCCGTGGTGAAGTGTGAGGACCAAGTTTGTTTCAAATGGACTACGGTGGATCCTCAAAATGTGCAAGGTTGGCAGATGAGCAATATCAAATTTGGTTTAAAGGTCGCACAAAATCCGAGACGAAAACGAGTTAAGACAAGACAAAGTAACTCAGCACAAAATGCTCTCCCCTACTTCTGTACTGTATCTTATCGGTGAAAAGCCACAAAAAATATGGCAATGACATGATTAAGGTCAACTTCTGGCCACAAGTGTCACTTCAAGAAAAGTCAACACATTCTATAGTTACTAAGTTTGAGTCTCATTTTGTCATCTCGCATCGCCAGATTCGCGATGGCGGGAGGAGGTAGAAATGTTTTGGACATATGAGGCACCGCTCCTCGATCACCTCATTGAATGGAGATGTCTACTTAAGATGGACATCACATCACTGTCGTGTAGTTTCCACTGGATAGCATCTTTCGACCGCGACAGCTGTTTGCCGTATGCACACATACCTGTCTTTCCTCTTCTGGCCCTTCTGTTTCCCAGCAAGGTTCCTCAACTCATCTTCCGTAGGGTGCTGATACCACCGCAGACTAGCAAAAACAAGAGCAATAAAAATAAGGACGATACACTTAGCCATGCAATGATTTTTGGTGAGTAGATTTGATGGCGAAAACAGTTGATCATATGATGTGGGCTGTCATGTAAACGCATCATTTGGAAAACAACTGGGACATGTAATTTAGAACCCCGTTTCTAGAACACAGACATACGGCAGCCGCAGCTTTTTTTTTTTTTTAATTATATAAAAGTGAATGAGGAAACCAGTGTAAAACCTTCTTTTTAATCAGAAAACGTATTCATGGTTCCGCAAAGAGAAAATGAACTATTAAATGTGTTTAAAAATGTTGTTTACAAATAAAATCAAAAGCATTTGTGGTGCCAATTAGGGGAGATCACCTTTTATTGTATATTATGCAGCATTATTATTTTTTGTCATTCTTCTATCCAATGTTTTCCTCACTGTCATCTCTATTTTTAATCTCCAAACTTTTTAGAATTCAAGAAAAGGCATTGAACTGAAAACAAACAAACAAACAAATCTGTGTGACAGCGTGAATTACCTGCCACTGCAAAGTAGCCATCGTGCGAAGGAATAATGAGGTATGATTTTTTGTATCACACTGGCCATTACCATGGTAACCACCAGCTGCACACCGATCACACCCTGTAGAAAACAGAACGATTTAAGTGGCATTTAAAGGAAAACAAAATTTCATTTCAAGTGCTTCAAGATTTCGGTAGCGTAGCAGCATATTACACTACTACAAAATCTATTGACAAAAGATTCAGCACCACAGCCTTGATGGAACTCAAAACACGATTTGTTTTCCCCGTGGTAGGAAAGTATACGGTCTGACGATTATATTTCCATTGAATCTGCAATAACGTCGCGTTAGAGAATGAAAAGCCGGCACGGCGACTGTAGATACAAAAAGATTAACGCAACACCAGCAGCTCAATATCAAGCTCGCACACCTGGATCAATATTCACTTTGTACTTAAGAGCTCAATCATCGCCATCAAGCTGAGCTGGAACGCGTCGGCTGTTCGGAAGCTCGGCAAATTGGCTCAGGTCTTCAGAAATTAGAGCGAATCGCTTTGCACACAAGAAAGGAAAGGGGATTCAAACCTTTAAAGAATACACATCACCTGAGTTCATCATGGTTAGACATGCTACATACAATCCCACATCAAAATGAACACGTTTTGCTTCAACGGGGATTAAATCCATGTTAGCCAAGGCAAGACAGAAGTGTTCACAGGATGTGACTGACAGGCCGGAGCGGCAGACAAGACCTACATTTGAAATTGGTCACGGGGGCTGGTGCACATTTCAGCTGGTCTAAGCTCCAGAACCACATGTCAATACTTCCTCAAGTCACCCAGAGAGGAGAGAGTGCCAATAACGTGGCAATTATCTTTGCTCAGAGGTGACTGGTGGCCAAACATAATGTCCGTGGCTCAAGACCCCCCCACCTGACACCATCCCAGTGTGTGCTATATGGGTCAAAAAAAGCGCACCCCACCTCAAGTTGCTGAGGTGGGTGCTGCTTAACTCTCGTCATAGGAAACCTGCAAGGATCTCGCACCTCGGGGGAAATGGAGCGAGCACTGTTTCTCTTATCTTGCCCGTACTGCTTGACCCCCCTCCATCAGACAACCAATTGAAATCCGTGGGGGGCAGGCAGAGGGGTTTCTGCCCCTGAAGCTGAGCTCGGAACCTTACTGAACCATTTTTTTTTTTTTATTGCATATGTGTTAAAGCCATTCTGTCATTGTAAAATGGGCAAACAATTTAAAAGGGAACATTATGGAAAATGCTTAGTAGCCAGTGATGCCTCCAAACAAGGTAAACTATTTTGAACTTTTGTTGGATGCCTAAATGAACTTAACAGAATCAGAATCAGAATCGCCTTTATTGTCATTGTATTACATACAACTATGGAGCCTTTGGTAACCTGACACAGAGACCAGAGACTCAGAAATGTATTGATACTGTAAATTCATGGATCAGACCTGTTGTAAGACAGGCCTATCAGATCCTTATTACAGTACAGCTAACAGCAAGCTGTGCAAAAAGTACTGACACTTTAAAATGAACTTGAAATAAACAAAAAAGGATCGAAGAGGTGACATTTAATTTGCCTATAAAGGTTCTAGAGTCAGAGCGGCCCGGTTGCCCAGTGGTTAGCGCGTCGACCTCCCAGTGCAGAGGTTGTGGGTTCGATCCCGGCTCCGGCCTTCCTGTGTGGAGTTTGCATGTTCTCCCCGGGCCTGCGTGGGTTTTCTCCGGGTGTTCCTCCCACATTCCAAAAACATGCATGGCAGCCTGATTGAACACTCCAAATTGTCTCGAGGTGAGAGTGTGAGCGCGGATGGTTGTTCGTCTGTGTGTGCCCTGCGATTGGCTGGCAACCGGTTCAGGGTGTCCCCCCCACCTACTGCCCGAAGACGGCTGGGATGTGCTCCAGCACCCGCACCGCGAACTTTGTGAGGATAAGAGGATCGGAAAATTGATGGATGGATGGTTCGAGAGTATTTTGTTATTGATACGTAATTTAGGTTAACTGCTGTATGACCCATTTATTAACTTACATAAAAAGTCATAACACACAATTCAACACTAGTCACTCGAAGGGCATCCAGGGGTCAAATAAGCTGATTCAGGTATATGCAGACACCTCAGCTGCCATAAAGCGCACACAGATCAGCTAACATCTTGTGGCCAATACAAGCACCTTGATTTGGACAAAATCATAACCCTCCAACAGGAAACACCGGGAAGGAATTTACAGCAAAACCAAAGCACGTCAGGGTCATTTAAAATGTCGACAATGTTTATTCAATGCAGTAAAATCATGAAACGAGATCAGGTGCACCTCAAGAGTTAGCAACCGGTAAGCTAAGCAAGAAGCTAAACCAAGAGCACTGCTTCAAATGGATTGAATGGGATCAATATTCAAGGCAGCCAGAAGAAATGCGTCCGATGACACAATCAAACAATGCAAAAACAATAAAATTGAAAAAAATAGTGAACAGCACAGCACGTCGAGCTCGCTGTCACATACTTACCATGTTGATGCAGTGCAGCTGAAACAGGCTCAACGCCGACAACACACAGCACTCCGAGGCGGAGATGACACGGCGAGGAGCACATAAGCCCTTCTTGCGACGTTATGATACAAAATGAATTATTTGTTTTCAGTCAAATTGTCACCGCGTACACCAGAGCGGTTTACATTGTCAAAATCAAACCAAATGATTGCAGCTCCGCCACCAAGTATTTTCAACAGCGGTAGAGGTCACGGTGAAACTCCGGTAAACAGGTGACGGAGGATATGCCTGCATATTCACCGTGAGAAAATTGGCTTTGAGTTATCTTTTGGTTTGTGTATTATATTTTTAAAGATCTTATATTTAAAGAAAAATATTACTATTGAGTGTCTTTATCAAAATAAAACTCAAGAAGGCACCGCAATGTAAAATTTTAATCAGGCTTAAATTAGAGAGCCGTGTTGGATTTCAGGACCGCGAGGACCGGAAAAGCACAGATTTTTTTTTTTTTTTTGCTTTATTGACAAGCATGTCCTATCAAATGTATATATTGAGGTGTTGTTTTAATACAGCTATCCATTCTCTAAAACGTGTAAATATTATTGACTACTTTAGTTAAAAATGTGACTTCAACCCAAATGTGTTTTTCACTTGATAAAAAATATTTTTGAATATATTGATGGAAAATATTTTAGATGATATTTATGGTAAATCAAAGGGGTTTCAGTATTTGCCTTTACAGATGAGTTTTTATATTTTATTTAAAAGGAATGTTTCCTTTATGTATTTATTTGTTTATTTTGGTATAATGTTTAAAGCCAGATTTGTTTTTATGTACAGTGCCTTGATTCAGCTGTGGCTTAAGTCTTTCATGTTTTCCTTCAACATACAGTCACAGAGGCACCCAAATACTCAGAGAATTGTGGAACAACACAATGCATACAACATTATGTACGTAATAATGTTTTAATATTTTGCATATTTTGGGTAAGTTTGAGAATACTTCGGATTCATCATCGAATCTTGGATCTGAATATAGTCATTTAGAACATGATATCCACTCTTCGAAGAGTGGTGGTCTACTGGTTGGCAAGTTTGCCTCACGGTTCTGAGGTTTGGTGCCTTCCTGGGTGGGTTTTCTATTTAGTCATCGGCCCACAATCTTGAGTCTTAAGCCTCTCGTTGTCACATAGAAGCAGACATCTGACTGGAAAAAAAACGTACACTCGCAAACGATGTAGGTCACTGCTTTTGTTCATGTTTAAAACAGCACACAACGCTTTGAAAGCCCTCCATCTGCGTCACTGCTATTCACTATATGCAATTGTTTCTCACTTCATAAAAAAATATATACAATATAATAAGAATGTCCTGTACAGTACTGCAAAACCATTCAGTCACAATCCACCTTCCAATTAATCTCAATCTACTGCACAAAACCCACCATGTGTGCTGTTAATGCTTTTGAAATTGCTTGTCATAAAAACACATCAACGTTTCTATTTCAGAAACTAAATGTCCCCTGAAGAGACAGAGACGTGTCTTTATTCGAGTTTTTAGTTATTCCATCCAGGACCTCCTGCGTCTGCCGATTTCCTTATTATGTATAATTAAAGTGAGTTGTCTTCCTACTGTACTGCTGCTCGTCTTCCATATCACACTCGGCACCATCACTGTTAACTGTTTGAATGTGACTCTCTGGAGTCTGTGTGCTTTTCTTCCTCTCGTCTTTTTAGTCAGTCTTGTTATTTTTAGATGAAACATAATAGCCAGAATCTTCAGAGTATCTCTGAGAGTTCCATACTCCTTCAGAGTGTTTAATCCATATGACAACTCCTCGGTGACTGCTGCTGCTTTTGGCTCACTCGTCTTACAATATAAATAAAGATGTTGAGAATATTACAGTGAAAATCTAAGCCCAGTCAATCAAATAGATTCGCTGTTGAATGTCATCATTCATTTTTTATGGCGAGGCCCTTTTTTTTTTTTTTTTTGTGGGGGAGCATTATACGTGGTTTCCTTCTTTTATTAATCAAACAGCAGTTTGAAATGTGTGTCACTGATCTCAACAGTGTACTCGCTCCAAGCGCAGGAAGAAAATAGAACAAAAAGTCGACTCCTCAGCAAGCAGGACTGAAAATGGTAGTGAATGTAATTCTCTTTGGTGCGCCGCCTCCTTCTCCAGTCTGTGTAATCTACTGTACGCGAATGCAAATTACAATGCAAATGCAAATACCACTGAATAATTTATTTGTAGCACACGGCCCTTTTATAGAAGGCAGAGTAGCTTTTTGCTCGAATTGGGAATTGTGGCATTTAAAACAGGCCTGCGGATGACAGGAAATAAAATCGCATGAATTTTCACTGCGAGAAGGAATTCACAGCAATTCATTTTCTGTCCCATTAATTATAAAATGAAGTCGATGCATTTCTCTCATTCAATCAAATTCAGTATGTCGTCTTCGAGCACATTCGGAGCAATTTTTGCAGTGTGGCATGAGGAAAAGAAAACCGATTATATAATAAATTACATATCCATATACTCACCAGACACATTCATCACATAAACGTCCTCAGGAATCTAATTCAGTCTAGTTTAATTTGTCATAAATTCTCATATAGTCAGATCATAATATTTAAAGTTTTGATTCTGTAGATATCTTATATTTTCTTAATATTGCCAAATAGGAATGAATTTTACAATACGTCTATTATTAGGTTTGTAGTCTGGAATCAATGTATAACTGTACCGCGTCATTGTTGCGCAGAAGAGTTTGTATTATGGTCACTACTTTGATCCACTCGAAACTACAGCCACAATACTTTTATATTTGAATCCTAAACATATACTGTGTTGCGGGGCTTTTTTTTTTCTGCCCTTGTTTCCGCTCGCACACACGACTGTGTTTAGGCTTCTCCCTCAGTGGGTTTCCCATCAGGGAGTGTAATTAACAAGCGCATTCATGAGTGGGTCTGCTCATTTAGCCTCCATTTGGGTTTAGACAGCTTTAGGGCGACGGAAGAACAAATCCTGGTGGAACGCGACGACGGCGCTGCAGCCAAAGTCAAAGCCACTGCAGGTAGAATGACAACTACTATAACTTTGTGTTACACTTCAGGCCTGCTAGCTCATGTAAAGTGGATATAAAAAGTCATGTAAAGTGGATATAAAAAGTCTACACACCCCTGTTCAACTGCCTTTTTTTTGGGGGGGGGTGTAACGTGTGTCTGGGAGGTTTTGTTATAATCTGATGAAACCAAGGTTCAATTTTTGGGGCCATAATCCCAAAAGGTATTTTTGCCACAAACATAACACTGTTTATCACCAAAATAACACCATACCTACACTCATGGTGGCAGCATCATGCTTTTGGCCTGTTTTTTTTTTCTAAATGAAACTGCGGCTTTAGACAAGGTGGAAGAAATTCGGAATAATTTCAAATAGCGGTCAGTGTTAGCACAAAACCTCCAAAGGCTTCTGCAAGAAAAAAACAAAACAAATGTCAGGAATAGCCTACTAGAACAGCTGAACTTTATTTGGAGTTAATCCGAGGCACTTTAAATGGTTGCATGTGTGAGTTGACTCCCTCTGACACTGAGTTTGAATGTGATTGGTTAATTCTGAACACAGCCACATCACCAATTATATGAGGGTGTGCACACTTGTGCAACCACATTCTCACAGGTGTGTGGTTTGACTTCCCCTCTCGAGAACGTTTCATTTATTTTTCAATTGACCTGTACAGGATGAATTTAATGGTGGCAAAAGTTTTCTAATTATCTTTTTTTTTAAGTGATTTTTATTTTAAATAATATCGCAAAAACTGTCATTTGAACAGCAGTATGTAGACTTTTTATAGCCACGGTATATAGTTAGTGTTGAATTTTTACATAGTCATTTACGGAAATTTCGAAATAATTTTAGTTTTCATGATGAAAATAAAATGATTTTCCACAATGTAAAAAAAAAAAAAAAAAAAAAAAGGAGACATGTGATTTGCACTTGCTTGTTATAATATTCATGTGACAAGCGCAGAGAAAAAAATAATCAGAATAAAATGTTTTGCTAAATTCTCCTTAAATGACACCTTGAATTATTTTCTGGTGTGTTATTCGCATTTAGCAACAAACACAACCTCGTTGTAATATCTCAGCCTTTTATTCACACAGAGTATTTTATCCCACGCGTACTCCAATATATCATTCTTACATACGGAAACATTTGCCTTTATTTTTTTCTTACGATCCAACATGTACAGTCGGATGCTCGACGCACGCGGCTGACATTGCATTAGCTTCCCATTTGTCAGTGTTATGTTGGCAAAGCCACAATATCAAAAGATTAGTTTGAGCATTCATTTCCATGTCAGCGTAGTCATTTTAATGTATAGACGATTTATTGTACACGCCGCGTTTTATCCAACAAAGACCCACGTCATGATATATGAATGCATATTTTCCCTATTCATATCAAGACTGATTTATATTGCAAAAGGGACAGCGTGTGTGTGCGAGTCTACGTGAGAGCGCGTGCACAGAGAAATAAAGGCCGAGCTAAGCAGAGGGAGAGAGAGAAAGAGAGAGAGAGAGAAGCTCATTATAATCAGGCAATTATGCTGGCAGAATTAGAAGCGTCCTTATTTTCTCTTGTGGCGGCGTGAGTGTGAAGACGCTTTGGTGACTGCAGACTAAAAAAAAAAAAAAAAATCAGGGATGTGACTGACTTTGCTGTGTTAACATGGAGCATCCGTTGCCATGTGTGACTATCGTAGCGTGTGATTTTTTTTTTTTTTCTTGCTTTTCGGAGAGTCAAATGAAGTTTCTCAGGTTCTCATTTGCATATGATGGGAATTTTTCTTTTGTCCTTGGCGGAAGTGAATGAGACAAGAGAAGTTACTCGTTGACGCCAACAACTCAGGAACGACATGGCTATCCACAGTGTATCATCCAGACAAGGGTAGATAATTATATTGCATGTTATTGTTATTACTATATAGATTTGCTGTATATATATTTTTAAATATTTTTAAGTGTATGTGTGTTAATTCTAAAGTGGCAGAGCTGTGTTACATCAGTCGATGGTAATGTCATATGTGTATGTATGCCTTCATGTGCACGAATACTTCAAATGCACTATAGACAACAGCGGAAAACTGAATAAAATGTTTTTCAATTCACATTTTTATAGCATTTTGTCTTTTTTTTTTGTTTTGATGACATGCTGCGCTGATATTTTATTTATCTGTCTTAAAATGTCGTCAATATTGCTGGA